CATCCCTGATCACCGTTCTAGCGCGTGCGTGTTTTATACTGACAGCTATATTCCAGGATAAATTGCAACCACGAGGTTGGATAAATTGTTATTTTTCAAACTTTAAAAGTTATTCACGACACATATTTCTGTTGTGATGGTTTGTATTGTGCTTGTATTAGTAACTCATTTTTGTTCAGTTTTGGTATTAAATACGGTTTAAAATGTCTTTTGACAGTTTGTTTACGTTTGCTATTTTTAGCAGTTTTTGTGACATAAAATTGACATTTGAAGTAAAGAGTATTTTTCAGGGAGGTCGCGTAATTTTGAAAACGGGTGTAAAAGGGTGTCTATAAACTTGCGAGAAATATGCGAAATGAATACTATAATCGAATAACGATTTTTAGAAACTTCCTCGTATGACAACAATAAAAGTTAATAACACAAATATTTAAAAGGCAAATTCGATTAGAGTATTCATTTCATATTTCTCGCAAATTTGTAGACACCTTTATTTAATACGCCCTCTTCCCCACGAACACAAAATAAACGAATTAACTCTATTTTCGTCTAATTATGATTAACACTAAATGGTATATCTGCTATAAGCATAGGCGTACCGGGCGGGGGGGCGGGGGGGGCGGCAGCCCCCCCAGTTTTTTGGGCAGTCGGGCAATATTCGATGAACAGTCGGGCAATTTTGGTTTGCAATAAAAAAAAATGGGTCAAATTCTGTCAATTTTGTCTAAAATTAATTCAATTTTTTGGCAAATTTTGTTTTTTTCGAAAATTGATGTTATGCTCCGGAAAAATTGTTTGTCCGGAAAATTTTTTTGACCCCTAAAATGGTACACTGACCGAAATTTTTTTGGCGACGGGGGGGGGGGGAGGTCGCCAAAATAATTTTTCCGGAAAAATTTTTTTGGTCCTAGTCGGGCAGAATCCAGAAAAGTCGGGCAGAATCTCGAAAAGTCGGGCAATTTTCTTGCCGCCCCCCTAATTTTTTCCTTCCGGTACGCCCATGGCTATAAGAGCTATATCTATACAGGAATACAACTATATTTACATGTGAAACGGCCACATTTGATATACGCATGAGTTTCCTCGACAATAGTGGCACAAAGTCCCACATGACTGAGCGTGTTCCTAAGATTGAACGCTGTTTATTCAAAACAATAAATAAATAATAGTAATTTCTACCAACCTTAGGTCCAGGATATGATTATTCCTTGACCGACCTATTATCCGCAATTCCCGCCAAAACTCTCACGACTGAGTGCAATTCCCGCCAAAACTTTTACAACTGAGTCAGTACAGGACTGAGTCCATGTACCGTCGCTTGCAGGATGAACGGTGAGGTCGTTGATAAAAACATTGCCTATTCGCGTGAGAATCTTCGATATTTGTCAAGAGCACTTGACAAGTTCTGATCTGATTTGAACCCGTTGAACAACCAGATCCAAGCTTTGAAACCACCAAATGACCATAAATGATCATCAAAAACATTGAACTTTCTCGGTAAAAACATTGAACTTTGTCATGAGAATAGACAATACTTTACTGCGACCGTTCATCCTTAGTGCATTCAGTAAATGAGTCCGCCTTTTACAAATCGCAGCCCGTGATTTGTAAAACACGGACTCAGTCCGCGTTTTACAAATCTTAGTTCGCGATTTGTAAAACACGGACTCAGTCCGCGTTTTCCCGGTCCAGTCCAGTCCAGTCCGTGTTTTACAAATTCAGTCCGCGATTTGTAAAACACGGACTCAGTCCGCGTTTTCCCGGTCCAGTCCAGTCCGGTCCAGTCCAGTCCAGTCCAGTCCGTCTTTTACAACATGCCCAAAACATGACAGTTATGCCAACAATAGTTGCAGGTTTTACACTACTGTTGTTCTATATGCACACTTCAAGTGTATTCTTTTCTAGGCGATAAACATAAAAAACGCGCGAAAATGTTTTCATTTTATTGTTGGCCGTAAATGGCTGTAAACGAAATAAATAATTACAATAGAACGACTGCATTAAACGTAATTGAAATATTAAAAATTTAAAAAGTGAAAACGAGGGTTTGTAGCGTGAAAACGAGGCTTTAAAGTGAAAACGAGACTGGAGGGCACGTTTACCCTATGAATATAATTAAATGTTTACCTCAGCGCCCAAAACTGGACAAGGGTGCCCAGATTGAACAAATTCTCTATTATTTTTTGCTTCAATCCAGCAGATATCGGTTTTGCACCAAAACGAGGCTTTAATCGCGAAAACGAGGCTGAAGGCCCCGCCCAAAGCCTGTATACCATCGATTTTCGAACTCAACGCCCCCAAATTGGCCAAATCCACGTGGTCTCATAAATTTCCCCGTCGGGGGACCATTCCCCCCTTCTCCGCCTGGTCTAAACTTCTAATGTGTCTAACTAACATACACAGGCTATATTTATAGTAAAATTAATAGGAACTTATTGTGGTTATATGACGAAGTCTATGCGGTTATGTGACGAAGTTTCCTTGCGGAAAATATACAAATTCATCGCGATTTGATCCTATAGTTTCGACTGCGCCCTGACAATGCGGTTGCATAGTCATGTCTGTTTATCGCTTGCGTTGGATACAAAACTTCTAGTCTATTACTCTGCACTTTCGTTTCCCTTTTGCACGTGTAGTGTGTTCATAACTATATATTTAAACTAATAACTATATGAATTATGTATATTCTAAAATTAAATGTACTTTGGTCTATATACTATATATGATAATTGAAAGTCTCCGACATATTTTTGTTGATTGGAAGACTTCATTTTGACGGTTTATAATCAATTTTTTATGAATAGTGCGTTTACATGTGACCAAGGGTGGGTTGACTACAAAATTTTTGTAGTTCGCTATAACTACAGCTACTTCAAAAATATGTAGTCAGCTACAACTACTACTACTTTTAAACAAAGGTAGTTCGCTACTGACTACAGCTACTGCTTAAAAAATGTAGCGAACTATTTCGCTATTTCGCTACTCTATATTTTTTAGTTTTAAGGTATTTGAAGCATCCACTAGCTCAGGCTGTAATATAACCTATAACAAATCGACGAGTAGCAACAGTAAACAAAAAAGGTCAAAGCAACATTTTTGTAAGCACTACAGTGTTCAGGAGTGCCACTTTTCATTGCGCTAAAATATAATCTTTACTGTATAAAATAATCTTTTAAGCAAACCGTGTCTTAATATCATTCTATTCTATGAACGGTTGCTAACAATTTTAAAAAGTAGCGAATAGCGATTTGCTGTTTAAAAAGTAGTCAACTATTTGGCTACTTTTAGGCAAAATGTAGTTCGCTATAACTACAACTACTGTTTTAAAAAAGTAGTCAAAAACTACTGGCAACTTGAAAATTGTAGTTCGCTACAGTAGCGAACTACAACTACTTCGCTACTACCCACCCTTGCATGTGACGTCATAAAAATTCTGAAAGCCTAAGCGTTTAACATATATAGCTGCCCATTTTATATATTTTGTATATCCTTACTGCAAGTATTCCTGGCAAATTTCAAGTCGATTCAGTAATTCCTTCGCGAGTTGAAGGAACTTGAATATCTATATTGCTGACGTCAGCATTATTTTGAAAGGCCGTTATAAGCTACGCGGTTTTCCAAACCTAAGTCGAAATATTTCGGTGGGCTTTCAAAAGCTTTATAGAATTATAATATCAAACATAATTGCGGACCTGTGTAATAAAATCTATCTTTTCTTGAGCATTTACTACACGGCCGCCATGTCGGCGGCCGCGTCTTAGATCGTGAACTCTCTATTACCACGTAATGTACTTATAAATAAACTTATAATTATGCCATCAGCTAATAAAAGTCTTTGCTCTCATCACTGCGCACAAACAGCCCCGCACGAAAAATAAACTTTAACGCTGAAAACATCAAGTGGACAAATGTTAAATTAGTGAACGCAACCAAATAATGTCGAAGATGTAACAACTAATTTATATTTCAGTCAAGAAGAAACACATGCAATAATGACTAAAACGAAGTCGAAAGCTATAGAAACTATTAAAATGAGTTATACTGTTTTGTATTTCATTAAAATATTCAGTGGTTCCTGTAATTGAACAGAAGAAGAAGCATTACAAGTTTTCTTGTCTTC